TGGGTCCTACCAGGTCGAGGGTGCACTGGAGCTGGGCCAGCAGGTCCTGGCTGCTGCGGCGGGCGCTCTGCAGCTTGGCCAGCGAGTGCTGGAGGGCTCGGTGCCGCAGTTTGGTCGAGAGGGAGCCCAGGCGCACGAAGTAGCTCTGCTGCTGCTTCTGCTGCTCCGGTTCGAAGCCCTCCACGGCCGTGGCCAGCCTGGCTGGGGGGGGGCCACCACCACCAACCCCCCCATAGAGTCAGCAGTGCCCTGCCCAGGCTCTCCCCACCCTTCTCCAAGGGACCCCCCAGCCCATGTCACATCTTTAAGGGAGTTGGTTGGGGTCAGCTCCTCGTCCATCACGGACAAGGCTCCTCCACCAGCTCCTCCAACTTCTCCAGCACCAAACCCACCCCAGGCTCTCCCCATCCATCTCCAAGGGACCCCACCCAGCCCATGATGGATCTCCAGGGGGCTGGTTGGGGTCAGCTCCTCACCCAGCTCCTTGTCCACCATGGGCAGGTGATGGTCCACCAGCTCCTTCAACTTCTCCAGCATGGAGCCCAGCCCAGGCTCTTCCCACCCCTCTCCAAGGGACCCCCCCCAGCCAATGTCACATCTCCATGGGACCCCCCCCCGGCCATGCCACCACCCCCAGGTCAGCTCATCATGGGCAGGTAATGTTCCACCAGCTCCTCCAACTTTTCCAGCACCGACTCCACCCCAGGCTCTCCTCATGTATCTCCAAGGGCCCCCCCAGCCCATGACACATCTCCAAGGGACCCCATCAGCCCATGATGGATCTCCAGAGGGTTGGTTGGGATGAGCTCCTCACCCAGCTCCTCGTCCGTCATGGGCAGGTAATGGTCCACCAGCTCCTCCGACTTCTCCAGCATGGAGCCCACACCGCTCACCACCATCTGGCCCACGGTGGAGCCCATGACGGTGTTGACGCCGCTGGTCACGGCCGATTTGGTGAGCTCCATGCTGCCCTGCACGGCCCCCATGGTCATGTCCATCACCCCCGTCACCCGGCTGGTCACCGCGTCCTTGGCCCCGGCCACCGTGCTGGTCAGGACATCCTTGGCCCCCGTCACCGTGGAGGTCACCAGCTGCTTGGTGTCTGAGATGAGCTGGGTGGGGGACAAAGCTCTGTCAAGCAGCACTAGGGGGAGGGGACATGGGGACCCCCAGGGTGTTGTCCCTGACCCGAGCAACCCACCTTCTCCGTGGGCTGCTGCAGGATGGGCAGCTTCTCCTCCAGCTTGTCCAGCCCCTTGCAGGCATATTCGTTGGCGGTGGAAACTCAAGGAAAGAAAAAAAGCTTTTAACACCCTGCTGACTTGCAAGAGCTCTGCTAGGAACAATTTTTGGGGTACCCCAAAATTTATGGGGTGCTGTCCCCATCCTAGCTTCTCCTTCAGCTTCTCCAGCTTTTTCCAGATTTATTTGTTGGTGGTGAAAACTAGAGATGAGAAAACAGCTTCTTCCTCCCCTGCTGCCTTATAAGAGCTCTGCTGGGGACAGTTTTTGGGGTATCCCAAAAAACATGGGGTACTGCCCCTCAGCCACCTTCTCCTCCAGTTTCTCCAGCCTTTTCCAGGTTTATTTGTTGGTGGTGAAAACTGGAGATGAGAAAATAGATGATGCTTTAATACCCCACTGCCCTGCAAGAACTCTGCTAAGGGTCAGTTTTTGGGGTACC